GGAAAAAACAGAAATTTCCAGAAATGTAGCCATATTTTTTTTCCTTATCAAATAAAAAACAAACTGCCAAATATTGTCACAGTGGAAATCTTTATGAAGCCTGTACTAAATGCTAAAGGCATGATTTTTGTTAAAAGAAATAGCAACGTCATTTTTAATCAAATGTGGAAGTTTTACGCTTGGATCAAGTGGGGACAAATAATTTATAGAAAATGGGCATTTAACTTCAAGACATACAGGTGGACAACACAAACAAGTAACAATGCGATCAGGACTACTGCCAATAAAGGGAATATCTCTATCTAAAAATAACTCACAATCATGCATTGCTACACCTTTATGATTGATTTTAAAAATTACATAAAAACAGTTAATGATATTCTGTTACATCAACTTGCTTAATTGCAGGTATGTTTGAATTAATAAATGACATGCCAGATATACGTTGATTTAATTCCCATATATCTGCATCAATTTTATTTAACTTGTTCATTTTTGTCCAAACATCATAACTTTTTGAAGCTGTTATAATACCTTTTCTATATTCATACCATTCTTACAGCAGCTTCAATTCTAAACATTGCTGCAACAACTTGGTTACATGTTTGGCTCAGTGACAAGATCAGATTTTTGCATTTTCTTTTTCTATAATCAACCACAGTTTATGGCTTGTGTCATTAATACATTGTGAATGTCTGCATTCACCTTTTATTGCACAAAATCAATTTTCCTCACTTATACAGTGATATACGAGTTTTTGAAGCCAGGTTGTTTTATAAAAACTAAAAGCTTTCAAATTTTTATAATCATTTAAGTGATTCAGATGGGTTAAACATCAAATAATTAAAAATATCTGGATACAAAACCATTGGCCATTGTTTAATACTGTCCTCTTCAGATAACCAACCATCTAATAAGATAAACGGATTACTGCATTTAACATTGTCAATTTAAAGTTTTTTTTGATATTCATCTTTAATTTCTTTGACTGCCTCAGTAGCAGTTAGTACAGGCTCAATAAAGTTTTCCATTGCAGAAAATGTGCATGCAACCAATTCCCTCTTTGTTCCAGAAACACCCAAATTTCAAAATCTTGAATACTGCTTCAACTCATAAACTTTCGTTTTATTAATTAAATTTAAATCCATTATGAGTTTATCTTTGGATAATCTAAATAATCTAAACAAAAGGAAAGCTCAATGTTTGCTTAAAAATCCTTTGTACGTAAAAATTTATTTTTATTTTACCAACATAATTTGGATCCTGACCTCAATATTTCTACACGTTTTTTTCAATTGGATAGGTGTATTAAGAAATATGAAACTTGTTTTGTTATTTTTATATGATTCTTTGTCATTTAACATCCTAGGTTCCATTTTAATGAATTTAATATATATTTAATGAATTTTTGTTATAACTTGAAACATGTTTGTTATAATTCAAGTTATGATAAAAGTTGAATTTAATTTCAACCTGAATTATATTCAGGTTGAAATTAAAGGAAATTAAATTCAAGGTTATAATTAAATTCAACTTTTGTTGTAAACTGAATTTTATTATAACATGAATTTATAATTCAGTTTAATAGAGTTTAAAATGTCTAGTTTTTTTTTATTCTATGGTTGTTATATTGTTATTATTATATAGTTTGCACATTACTTAGTTATTTAAATTTTATAAATCAAAATCAAAATGTAAGTTATACGATTATAATTGCATAATTTAAAATTTTACTTTAATATGTTTTTTGTGCTTAAAATTTATTTTCACAAATATTTAGTAGTAATATTATTTAATAACAATGAATTTTTTTTTTAATAATAGTTAATCTATTCAAGTATTATTATAATACAATGCAAAACAATAAATTTCAACTAAACTACTGTATTAAAAAAAAGAAGTTAATAAATTGATTCACATGAAAGTATATTTCATTGAGCACATCATAAGTTAGCAAGACTAACTTGCCACCATGCTGGATGATGTGCTATAGTGATTATAACTATTATGAAAAGTCTTAAAACAGTCAACAGATCTGGTGTGTAAAACATTATCAGGGAGGGCAATTTACTGCATAACAATGCAGTTGTTAAAGAAGTTGTATCAGACCAGACAGTTATTTTTTTGTTGGTTTATACATTAGTGATGGCCATGTAACAGAGATATATATTTTTTGGATCATATCACCATGGATGCATCTTTTTTTGAAGGTTGTAAAGCCTAGTTTGGTGTACCTCATTTTGCTTGTATAAGATTTTCTTTGCATTATGCTGAACTTATTTTAATACACCAATATCTTTTTGGAGATAAAGGTTCCATGAAGTAATATCTTTCTGGAGATGAAGGTTCCATGAAGTAATATCTTTCTGGAGATGAAGGTTCTATGAAGTAATGTTAAGTTTGAGATAAGGGTGTAAAGCTTTTTCCACAGTGTTGCAACTCTTTTAAAAAAGGTTTGTTTTAATATAGCTAACAATTTCTTAGGATTGTAGATCACAATAAAAGTTTGAATTTAAGATTTTACTAGATATTGATGTCAACGTATTTTTCAGAGCTTTTAGTAAAAGTTAAATTCTTTTTGAATTGCCTTGTTGATTGTACATGGTCATAGAATTGAATAAATGTTGATCTAATGTATATGGATCAATATTGATCTAATGTATATGGATCAACGTTGATCTAATGTATATGGATCAACATTGATCTAACATATATGAATCAACATTGATCTAATGTATATGGATCAACATTGATTTAATGTATATGGATCAATGTTGATCTAATGTATATGGATCAACAATGATCTAATGTATATGGATCAATGTTGATCTAATGTATATGGATCAATGTTGATCTAATGTATATGGATTGTTATGATAAGTTTAAATAAACATCTTCAGCATTGTTGATTTATTAAAATGGTTGAAATATGTATAAGTTCATATATATCAGGCTTGGCCGGGAAGCGGGTGCGATCGCATTCGATAATTGACCATGGAAATATTATTTAGTTGCGAAAAACCGGCCAGATTTTTTAGTCGTTTTGAGAACATTTAAGTTTATGTATGTTTCCTTGTTTGTCCACAAAATAATAAGTTCATTTTATCGTAAATTTAAAAATTTTTTGTTTTACAGACTTACATGGAAACATACATAAACTTGAATGTTTTCAAACATCTTAGTGCAGAAAAGTAAAAAAAGAATATTCGCGAACACAAAAAACCTGCCAAATCTGCGGACAACTAATTCTATTGGTTCAAAAAATACTAACCGAAATTTCTAGAGTATTCAAAAAATACTAACCGAATGTCCTGAGTATTCTGTTAAAATATTTTTAAAAATTGTATTTTTTGAATTTTGTTGCGTTTTTGTTGAGATCTCTAGCATAAATTATTTTAAGAATATACTATCAAACGAACTATTATTTTAATTCTTGGAGCCACATCTACAAAGCTATAAATGTTTTAAACTAACATTATTTGGTTACAATAATAAATGTTTTAAATTTATCTACAAAGCTATAAATGTTTTAAACTAACATTATTTGGTTACAATAATAAATGTTTTAAATTTATATTTTTTAACTTGTCAACGTTTTGTAAATATATTATAGATTTTATTAGTATATTCTTATTTTTTAAACTACGCGAATTAAGTGCGATTGCACCCGCTTCCCGACCAAGCCTGTATATGCGTTTAGATATATAATATTTAATGTGTATATATATATATATAATATTTAATGATATATAATATTTAATGATATATAATATTTAATGATATATAATATTTAATGATATATAATATTTAAGATATATAATATTTAATGTGTGTATATATATATATATATATATATATATATATATATATATATATATATATATATATATATATATATATATACTAAAATATGAAACAAATAAAAATTAATTCCATTAAAAGTTAAATATAACATTGTGCAAACGTAAAATATAACGTTGAGTCAACTTAAAATACAATGTTTTGCCAATGTAAAATACAGCATTGTGCACACATAAAAACGTAAAATAAAATGTTGCATCAACATAAAACACAATGCTTACTTAAAGTATAATGTTGGGCCAACAATGTTTTTTTTTGATATTTATTTTCATTAGCTAAGTTTAGGTCCTCGCCATGATGATATCAATATCTGCTTGTTCTTGGCCTTTGGAGGTACTAACAATGCTAAAAAATTTGGTACCGTAAGCATACATTTTGCAAAGGCTTTTTTTTACTAAATGAGGAAGGTCATTAATAAAAAAATTAAATGTGTAATGCCAAGCATAAAGTCTTGTGTAACTCCACTGTTTCCATTTAAACAATGTGTCACTAATTATGATGTGCTGGGTTCTGTTGAAAACAAAGGGTTTAACCTAGTTTAAAAGATTACCTTCGATGCCATACATTTTCAAGATGTACAGTATCATAATAAAATAATGTATATATAAAAATAATGTAATGTATATATAAAAATGTAAATATAAAAATGTATGGGAAAAAAATGATTACTATACAAAATATCAAGTAATCATTTTTTTGATTTATAAATTTACAATCTAGCAAACATTAAAAAAATTTACTGTAGACTTAGATACTCAAATTTTTTCTATTTTAGTCAATATTGATTTAGTTTTATAATAAATTGGGTTTTTGTTTTTTTGTGTTTTATGCATAAAAAACTGTGGTACCTATGTGTACCTATGTGGTACCTATTAGTACTTTTGAAAAACTAGGTACCTATGTGTACTTATGTGGTACTTATAATACATTTAAAAAATTTAATATGGAGAGACCCATGATGTTTTTCTATTATATACTAAAATGGATTTTTTTAGTGTTACAATTATATATGTATATTTAAAATTATATTTAGTATTACAATTATATATGTATATATAAAAATACATATATACAATTACATATGTATTTTTTTAGTATTACAATTATATGAGTATAATAATATGAAATGTAATTTTCAGGCAGGAGATACATACAAACTGTTACTATAGAAAATTTAACAGAAAACTCGTTATTTGTATCCTTTTTTAATATTTTTCAATATTTTTCATTGTAAAGAACTCTTTTTGTTTATCATTTAAGAAAAAAAAAATTATGATATAGTTTCACTTTTTTATAAAAAAAAATTCTTTAATAAACTAAAAGCTTTCTTCTTCTTGCCTTGATCCCAATGGTTCCTTTGAACTTGTAAGTAGCTTTAAAGAAATAAAACCATATGGATTTGGCTTTGTTAAACTTGTATTTTCTCCTACAACAAACAAACATGTAAGTTAATGTTATATTTTTATGAAATTCAAGTGTTTGATATATTTTAACATTTTATATAGAACACCATAAACATTAAAAATGATAATTTTTCAACGCTTGATTACATTTTTTATATATAAGTTAGAAGTTGTTTGTTTCATTTTTAATTTTTTTTTCTATATAAAACTTTACCTTTACTCTAAAACTTTGCTTTCAATTATTTTGTTGATAAAAGTATTGTAAAGTCACAAAACTACAGGATTAGTATTAGTGCGCAAAACAAGATTAAACAAGGAAGAGATAATTTAAAAGCCTTAATTCTATTGAAATATCCACAAATAACTTAATCATACTAATAGATTCAAAAACAAACTGAGAAAAGTTAAATTGCTTTTTAAGTACATATTGAAAGTAAGTAAATATAAAGCTTAAAAAAAACTGTAATTCTTAAATAGATTACTTTAGAGTATTAAAAATATGAACCAGATGCTAAAAAATTTAATAAAAATATATAATTACATTTTCATTTTAAATGATGAATCTTATTTCACATTGAGCTATTGTACATTAGCACTTATAGATATTGTACACTGAGAATTGCGCAATAGCTAGTAATGATTTTAGACCAATAATATCAAAACCTGAAAATAATGTAAATAATTTTAAGCCAATAAATAAACAAGAAAGAATCATAAAAATATTTGTTTTTAAATGACTATTATGCCAATAGTAATTAGTATCTTTATTATGCTAAAAGTGTTACAAAGTAACGTGGCCCTCGTCAAAGAAGATTGAGATGTGTCTCAAGAGACTTTTTTAATTGAAGAGGTGTAAAAAGCAAAAATTGCTAGACAAGGTTTAAACTTTGTTGAATATGTTATTGAATCAAGCTTTCAAAAAAAATTAAATAGTTTTATTTTATTTTATATAGTTATATGCTTCATTTTTTATATAGCTTGAAAAAAGTTTCATTTTTATGTTTAAAGTGTTTGCTAAATATCTGCAGGGGCTTCAGTGCATACATTGAGCAGAGGCTTCAGTGCATACATTGAGCATTTAGTTTTGGCCAGTTATTTATTATTTAGATAAAAAGGACTTCTATTGCAAAATATTATTTATAATTTTTTTTCTTTTTTTGAGAAAACTTGAAGTGTCTCAAATATACTAGGACAGTGTCTGACTAAATCTATAAAAGTGAGTCTGTGTGATAGTATAATTGACATTAATTGATGTTAAAATGATATTTTTTTGTTTTTGTAAAGTTTTACGATGTCCTTGAAATTTTCTGTGATATTTCAAAAACACGACTATATCTAAAAGGGCAGGGAGTTTCTCCTTGCATTGTTCTTGATCCACCCGGGCCAATATTCAATTTTGGTGATGTACTTGTCATGGATACTGTAAAAGTACCTCTCAAGGTGAATCACAACTTCTTTTTTTTTTTACAATTTGTTCTACATTTTATATTTTTTAAGAAATTTTTTTTAGTGTTAAGTCAACTCAGCAGCAATTTTTCATCATGATTTTATATAAAATATATATATATATATAAATTAATGTAAGAATTTTTTTTTTTTAGATTAATAATAGATGTGAAGTATCAGTTAATTTTGATTTAAATTTACATAGTGTGACAAACTCTTGCTCTAGTCAAACTGTTTTAACTAATAAATCAGAAATGTTAGTTGGTGAGAGTAATTTAGTTTTTACTTTTTGTACAATGTTTAGTTTCTTTTTAGTATTATAAATTTTATTTTGGTTGGACTTGTTTTAAATTTTCCGATTTATAGGTCCTTCGAATTATTCAGGGATTTGTGTGTTTAGTTGCTCACCAATTAATGGAGTAATAAAACCAG